GGATTACTGCCACTCTATGACTGGTGTGCCCATTACAAGAGGGACATAGCAAGGTTGGAGTCAGTGCAGCGAAGGGCCACAAGGTTGGTGGCCGGTTTGCAGGGAAAGCCGTATGAGGTGGGACGGAGGGAACTGGGTCTCTTCAGCCTGGAGGAGACTCAGAGGGGATCTGTGGGCGACATACAGGCATGTGAGGGGGTGTCACATGGAGGTGGGTAGAGACCTGTTCTCCCCTGCAGAGGAAGGCAGGACGCGCTCCCACGGAGCAAAGCTCAGGGAACCCAGGTTCAACTGGGATGCCAGGAAGCACTTCAGGACAGTCAGGACCCCAAGGGTGTGGAATGGGCTTCCCCAGGAGGTGGCTGAGGCCCCATTGGTGAGGGTGTTTAAGGAAAGGCTGGGCATGCACATGGTGGGCATGTCGTGAGCGGAGCCGGCTGGAGCCGGGGTCAGACTAGATGGCCCGGGAGGCCCCTCTGACCCACTCAGTTTCTGTTTCTCTGGGCTGCCTTGGGGGACTGTGAGGCCGGGTGCCATGCACCTGGAGCGGGCTGGACAGCCTCGTGTGGCCCCAAAGGGCCGTGGGCAGTGGTCATAGCAGCCGGAGCGCTCTCCCCAGCAGGTGCGGCCAAACACCGTGTATTCCTTGCGGCTGACGCACGGCGAGTTCACCTGGGCCATCAAGAAGAAGTTCAAGCACTTCCAGGAGCTGCACCGGGAGCTGCTGAAGCACCAGTTCCTCGCGCATTTCCTCCCCTTGACGCGGTGAGAGGCAACAGGGCGAGGGTAGCTGAGGCCGGGTGGAGGGGCCGGGGCTGGGCCCTGCGGCCGGGGGGGCCTTTGCACGCTGGGCCGGGAAGCCGCTCCGCAGGAAAGTGCGGCAGGGTCCATGCACGCCCCGTGTGACCGAACAGAAGGGCGCCCACCTGAGCCAGGTCGATGTGCTCACGGCATCCTACCCCTTCCCCAGTCAGACGCCCCCAGCTGTGTCGGACTACATCTCCCATCATCCTTAGCTGACCGGGTGATTGGCCCTGCTGCTGGGGGTTGGAGTCCAACAGATGGAGGCAGGCTGCAGCACGCAGCTTCTCCCCCCCCCCCCATCCCGAGGGCTCCTCTCCTTCTAAGTGGAATTGGAAGTGGTAGCCAAGCCCGGCGCTGGGGCCCCGTCGTTCTGATGCCCTCGTGGCCGCGGGGGCTCCCACGCTCCCCCCGCCATGGCCGGTGTGCCACGGGGCCTCCGCCATTTAGCCGAGCGCTGCAAACGGATGCACAGGGGTCGCCAGGCACCCATCGGGGCTGAGGCGCTCCGCCTTGCGGAAAGCAGCGTGCCGGCGTTCGGGGAGGGGAGGACACTGGTGCTCCAGGTCCAAACGCCTCCGCCCCGGGCCGGAGCTGCAGGTGCTCTCGCTGGCGGATTCCCCCGGAGGCAGCCCCAGTCGGGACACCGCGATGGGCCGGGCTGGGTGCCGCGCGGGGTGTCCGCCTAGCCGGGAGAGCACTCCCTGGCCGGGGCTGCTGCTCTGGGCGCCTGGCCGCTCTGGAAACTGGCACACTCAGGCCCCGGCCTGGATCCAGAAGCACGTCTGCACTGCCCCCAGACACGGGCGCTTGCTTTTCTGCCGGGGAGTAACGCTCACGAACAAGGCGGGCTTCCTGCCGAGGCCCAGCTTGCCCAGCACGGACTGGGTTTGCCCCCAGAGGCCCTCCTGCCAGCCCGGAAGGAAGCGTCCGAAGGGCGTTGGGCCACTTGCGGGGACTGCGCCGTTCCGCCACGGTCCTGGACCGCTCGCCTGGACTCGGCGCCTCTGCCCCCTCGCGGACTCGGCGCCTGGCCGGTCCGGCTGCAGCGGCCCAAAGCACCCTTCGGCTGGCCGCCCCTCCGGACCGGCCTGGGCTGCCCCCCGTCTGGGTGGGAGCTGATGCAGGACCCCCAGGCCTGCCCCGAGGCCGCAGAGGGCGGCTGGCTTCCTCCACAGGCCCCCGCTGAGGCGCTGGCGTGCCCCCTTCCTTCGCCGTGTGCCCCCCAAGCAGGGGGAGGCAGGCTCGGCCGAGGGCCCGAGGGCTTGCTGCCGGGGCGCTTCGGCATCGCTCCGGATGGCGGGAGGGTGGGCGCAAGCACGGCTGTGGGATGGCGGCGTTCCCCCGGGGCTGCGGGGGCCTCGTCTGCCTCCGCCTGACCCCCGCTCTCACGCGCAGGCTCGCCCTCCAGGGTCCCCGCTTGGAAGCGGCAGCCCGGGAGCTGCCTGCACTGCCCCACGGGGGCGAGGCTTCCCGGCGTCCGTCCAGCAAGCAGGTGCGACTGGCATGGGGCCGCAGCGCCCGCTGCTGGGGGGGGGGGCTGGGGAGGGCAGCCCGGCCCCCTGGGCGCTCCGCCTGCTCCGGCACGGGGCCTCAGTGCCGCCCTTCGGCAGCCAAGGGATGCGGGCTGGGTCAGGCCGGGCCGGCTGGCCACGGGAGCCCTGCAGTCGCCCCGGCTGCTCGTGTTTTGCGGGGGGGCAATGAAGGGACCGGGGCCCGGCGGCGGGGGGACCACGTGGGCGGGGTCTCCCCACGCATGCTCAGCGCTCGCCTGGGCTCTTCCCCGCAGAAGTACCTGGAGGGATACCTCAACACCCTGCTGGAGATGAGCTTTTACCGCGACTACCGCGCGATGGTAACCTGCCCCCGTGCCACGCGGGCCCCTTCTCGGGGGGGGGGCCGGCAGGAGGGCGGGAGGCCAGCGCTCGGCTCTCCGCTCCGCCGGTGGCTGCCTTACGGCAGTCTTTGCCCCTCGCCCGGCACCGACGCGCGTTCCCCCTCCTCTCTGGCCGGCAGGCGGAGTTCCTGGACGTGAGCCGGCTCTCCTTCATTCGGGACCTGGGAGCGAAGGGCCTGTGAGTGAGGCGCCCCCCGGCGTGGGGCGGGAGGATGGGGGCCCCCACGCTTGGCCCTGCCCCCACTCCCAGGACGGCCTCAGGGGCCCCTCTGCCCCCTGAGTGGCACCCCGGGTGCCCAGGCGGGCGGACCTGCGGAAGTGGCCCAGGCGCCTCTGCAGCCCCGGGGTCCCCCAGGGGCGCGTGCCCTGGCGTGCCTGCCCCGCCAGAAGCGCCCTGCGAGGCAGGCCAGGCCGAGGGTCGGGGCCCGTGGCCGAGTGGTGGCTTCTGCCGGGGGGCTCCCTGAACCCCCCTCCCGGGCCAGGTGCATGCAGTTGGCCCCCCCAGAACAGAGCTGCCCCTTCCTCAGGCGGGAGCCTGGCCTGCTGGGTGCGCTGCCCTGCTTGGGCCCCTCCGCCAGGCGCCCCCCACACCTGGCCACGGGGGCTGCGGGGGCCACGCCCCGGGACCCTGAGCCCCATACGGCCAACGGGGCTCCGCTGTCTCTGCCGTCTCAGGGAGGGCCTGGTGCTGAAGCGCTCCGGCGGCCACCGCATCCAGGGCCTGAACTGCGCCGGGCGCCACCAGGTCTGCTACCGCTGGTCCAAGAGGTGAGTCCTGGCGGGGCCGGGGGGGGGGGACACGCTGGCGGGCCCCCCTCACTGGCCTCTCCCCCCAGGTGGCTGGTGGTCAAGGACTCGTTCCTGCTCTACCTGAAGCCGGAGTCGGGCGTCATCTCCTTCGTGCTGCTCTTTGACCCGGGCTTCTGCGTGCAGGTGGGCAAGAAGACCACCGAGGCCAAGTACGGGGTGCGCGTGGACAACACCTGCAGGTGAGCAGCTCCCGGCCCCCTCCCCGCGTCTGGGGGGGCTGCGGGGCTCGGCCAGGCAGAGCGGGGGTCCGTGTGGGGCCGGCGTGTCTGGCGAGGGGCGAGAGTCCCCCGTCGGCGGCCTCCCGGGAGCCTGAGCGGCAGTGCAGGCCAGACGAAGGACTGCGGCGCTCGGGGGATCGGGCCAGCGCTGGTGAAAGGGGGGCTGTGCTGGGGGCCGCCCCTTGCTCACCATGGAAGGTCGCTTGCCCTGGGGGGGCTGGCCTCGCAGGCCCTCGCCCCGCCTCTCCCACCCCACGGAGAACCAGGAGGTGCGCCTCCCCACCTGCCCCGGGGCTCGCGGGGGAAGAGCTGCAGCGGCGCAGCCCTGGGGCAAAACGGGGCAGGACAGCAGGTGGGTGGGGGGGCAGGCGGGAGCCACGGAGGACCCCTGCCCAGCCCCCCCTCGCCCCCAGGTCTCTCATCCTGAAGTGCAGCAGCTACCGGCAGGCCCGCTGGTGGGGCCAGGAGATCGGCGAGCTTGCCGAGAGTCGCGGGAAGGAGTTCCTGCAGACCCACCGGCACGGGGCGTTCGTGCCGGTCCGGAAGGAGACCCCCGCCTGCTGGTGAGCAGCGTCCTGGGACCGGGGGGGGCTCTGGGGGGTGTCCGCCCCCCCCCCCGCTCCCTCACCTTCTCCACGCCTCCCAGGTTTGTCAACGGGGCCGGATACTTCGCCGCCGTGGCCGATGCGCTCGCACAAGCCCGGGAGGAGATCTTCATCACGGACTGGTGGTGCGCTCAGGGGCCCCACGGGGGAAGAGGTGCCCTGGGCCCCGGCCTCCCCATGGGACGCTGCCCCGCAGCCCACGCCGGGGGGGTGACCCTATGGCCCCCGGGCCGCAGCCCTGCCCCGCGGGGGGGGGCGAGGATGACGCGGGGGGAGGGCCCTCGGGCGCCAGGGCTGCGGGGACGTGGCCCGGGGCTGTGACGCCTCTCCTTGCGCCCTGCAGGCTGAGCCCCGAGGTCTACCTGAAGCGCCCGGCCCAGTCGGACGAGTGGCGGCTGGACCTCATCCTGAAGCACAAGGCGGTGAGCCCCCGGCCGGGAGTGGGGGCGGGGGGCGGGGGGCCAGGGGGCGAGCAGGGACCCCCGGCACTGACGGCCTCTGCTTCCTCCCGCAGGAGCAGGGCGTGCGCGTCTGCGTGCTGCTGTACAAGGAGGTGGGGCTGGCCCTGGGCATCAACAGCGACTACAGCAAGCGGGCCCTCCTGCTGCTGCACCCCAACATCAGGGTAACGGCCCGTCCCCCCGGCGGGGCCGCCCGGCGCCCCCCTCCCCGGCCTGCTGAACACCACCATGCGCTGCCTGCCCGGTCCCCGTGCCCCTCCTGGCCATGGCAGAAAAGAGCAGCCCCCCGGACCTCCCTGCCATCGCCCCCTCTCGGGGCACTTTGGCATCGGGGCACTCTCAACCCGCCGCCCGCCCTCAGTCGCCGAGCGCCTTCCTCTCCTCTGTCCTTTCCTTTGCTGCTGCGCCGATCCCTCCAGCCTCGGCCCCCTCCTCGCCTCAGCCGGTGACCCCTTCCCGGCCTCGCTTCCGGCGACCTGCCGCCTTCCCGCCCCCGCACGCCCCTCACTTCCGGCTCAGCTCGGCCACGCGGGCTTGTCCCGGTGCCGCCTGCCCCTCCTCCCTGCCGGAAGCGCTTGTGATCGCGCCCTCAGGATTCCTTCCTCGAAATCCCCTCTGAGCTGGGCTCCCGTTCTCCGCAGAGCCCCTTGCCCCGGGACTGGGCTTCCCGTTGCTCTGCGCCCACGAGGATGGGCTTTCCTGAAACCCAGGGCCGGCTTGGCCCCACGTGGCTTTTGCTCGGTGATGCTCAAGACGGGGCGTGGCAGGGTCACTCTCCCCGGAGTCCCGCGGCCGCCGCTCTGTCCACCGGCTCGCGGCAGGTCAAGGATCCAGTCCACCTTGGTCCTTCCCCCACTTGCTGCAGGAGGGAGCCGTGTGACTCGGAGGGGCTTGCTGGCAGAACTGGTCTCCCAAAAGACACCGGGGAAACCACAGGCCCCCCCGAGGACGGCAGCCTGCTCCTCTCCCTCCTTGCCCGCTTAGACCACCCCGGGCGCCCCCGCGGGGGCCGCTGAGCTCGTCCCCCGGCATTTCTGTGCGGAGCTGCGTCTCGGGCACGCAGAGCGACTCTGCCCCCTCTCTTGCTTCTGCTCTTCTTCAGGGTCTCTCCTTCGCCTGCTGCAGTCCAGCCACGGGAGTCGTCCCACCGGGTCTTGGTCGACCTCTCGGGGGGCCAGCTAGGCCTCCAGCCCCCCGTTCGGCTTAGCCGGCCGCTCCTCCACGGCGGGCTGCCCTCTGGCCCTGGCCTCGAGCGGCCCACAGCAGCTCTGCGGCTTCCACGGATGCGGAGGGTCTCCTCGCGCTGCTGCTCCTGTCTCCCTTCTCTGGGAGCTCCTGCCGCGTCTTCCTCCCCTCCGGATCCCCCTCTTCGGCCTCAGCTCCGGGCGCCACTTCTCGCTTCTCTGCTGCTCGCGGCTGCCTCACTCGCCTCCTCTTCTTCTTCCTCTGAGGGCGGACGCGGCTGAGTCCTCCGACCGGGCCGCTAGCTGGAACCGCCGGCCCACGTGGGCCCTGCGAGACCCAGGAGGACGCCGGGGCGGCTGAGCCGGCCTGAACCCCCAGCGCGGGGGGAGGGGAGGGGAGGGGAGGGGAGGGGAGGGCGGAGCAGCTGAAAGCCGGGACGGGGGCCTGCGGACCAGCACCCGGCCCCGTGGGAGTGGGGCCTGCTGCCCACGTGCTGCCCGGGCGACCCGGGGGATGCAGGAGCTGCTGGGCGCAGGCGCGTGCGTGGGCCGCCCGAGGCACGCTGGCACTGGGGCCTCTGGCCCTTTCCTCCCACAGGTCATGCGCCACCCGGACCACATCTCCTCCATCGTCTTCCTGTGGGCCCACCACGAAAAGCTGGTGGTGGTGGACCAGTCCGTGGCCTTCCTGGGCGGGCTGGACCTGGCCTACGGGCGCTGGGACACGCACGAGTACCGCATCGCAGACCTGGACGGGGCCGCTGGGCCCGGCCGCGAGGTACGGCCCGGCCCCCGGCTCAAGGCCGCCGCCGCCGCCTCTTCCGCCCCCGAGCGGCGTCCGCACCCCGTCCGCCCCCGAGCGGCTTCCTCCTGGCGGTGGCAGCTCGCAGCGGCCCCAGCCGCAGGGCCACGGGGCATCCGGCCCCAGGCGAGGCCGTCGGGGCCCCGCGCAGCCGTCCCGCCGGGCGCCTCCCGGCCGTGCTGCCCCGCTGCCCAACGCGCCCTCCCCCCCCCCAGCCGCGAAGGCCGCAGCCGGGCTGACCACGGCTCTCCCCCAGGGCGGGGCGGAGGCGGAGGCAGAGGCCCCCGCGGAGCTGGCTGGGAACCGGCTGCTCTGGCTGGGCAAGGACTACAGCAACCTCATCGCCAAGGACTGGGTGCAGCTGGACAAGCCCTTCGAGGGTGAGCGCGGGGCCGGGGGGCCGGGGCCGGGGGGCGCTCTGCCCGGCCCCCCGTGCCCGCTGACCCCGCTCCCCTGGCTGGCCAGACTTCATCGACAGGCGCCAGACGCCCCGGATGCCCTGGCGGGACGTGGCCGTGGGCGTGCACGGTGTGGCTGCCCGAGACGTGGCCCGGCACTTCATCCAGCGCTGGAACTTCACCAAGGTGAGTCCCGGGGCGGCCGGGGAGCGGGCGGCTCACAGGGCTGGGCGCCCCTTGCCCCTCCCCGTGCCAGCGGGCTGGAAGCGGGGGGTCTCCGGACGCCTGGCCAGGGGTCTTGCTGCCCCCGAGTCGGTTTGCACGTGTCCACGGAAAAGCAGCGCCCGGCAGCGATCGGCTTGCCTTCGGAAAGAGGAGGCCGGCAGGGGAGTCTGCTGTGCGTCTAGCGTGGCCGCGGGGAGGTTTTGGGCGGGTGTCGCTGTGGGAACCCGGGCAAAGTCTTTCGCAGCTGCTCGCTCGGCCCCCATCCGGCATTTCGGGCAGAGTGAGAAGGGGACGGGGACGGGGAAGGCTGCGAACCGGGGCTCCCAGCTCCGGGGCTTGCGTTGCACCCCGCGAGGGGCGGCGGTGGAGCCGGGGGCCTGGGGGGGCAGCCGTGGGTTTTCCGTCCCTCGGCACTTTGGCCTCCCCCCTCCGGGGTCTCTGGGGCCTCTGCTGCCCCTGTGAGCGCCCGTCCCTTCCTGGGGTGGCCCGCTGGAGAGGAGGGCCGGCCACACCGAGGGGTCTGTCTGCCACACCGGCCCTGCACGGCCCATTCGTGCACCAGCAGCCGATTCGCACGCTTTCGTGAAATTCAGGGGGGGGGGGGCGCTACAGCCTCTGGCCCCGTGCAACACCCCAGGCCGAAGTGGCGGTGGGCATGCAGGCACTGGCCCCCGGCCACCCGGCCCCCCTCCTCTGCTTGCCCGCTTGCGTCATGTGAGGCGAGCCTGGGGGCAGGCGGAGGGACCCCGACCAGAGGCTGAGCGCCGGCTGCCTCCCCGCACTTAGCCTGGGGGGCTCCGGAGGGGCTGGACCCCAGCCCGGTCCTTGCAAGGCAGCACGGCTGTGCCAGCAGAGGACGATGGGCCGGGGCAGGCGCCTTCCTGCGCCACCTGCCAACGAGACTCGGCACTCCCCCCCGCTCTGCTTCCAGACCACCAAGGCCAAGTACAAGGGGCCCGAGTACCCCTGCCTGCTGCCCAAGTCCCCCCGGGCCGCCCTGCCCCTGCCCTTCACCGTGCCCGGGGCACACGCGGCTGACGTCCAGGTGAGTGCCGGGGGGGCCGGCGGGGGGCCCCACGGCGGCAGAGCCCGGGAAGCGTCACCGGCGGGCAGGGGGTGCGGGGGCTGGCTTCGCCCCCCAGAAGGCCACCCCCGCCACGGGCTCCCGGCTCCTCCCCGGGTCCGCCGGAGGCCGGGACCTTTTCAGAACGGACGCCGCCTGCCCCGCCAGGTGCTGCGTTCGGTGGACCGCTGGTCGGCCGGCCTGCACGAGTGCTCCATCTACAACGCCTACCTGAGCGTCATCCGGGAGAGCCAGCACTACCTGTACATCGAGGTGAGCAGGCGGGGGGCGGGGGCGGTGCTGAGCAGCGGCTGGTCTCTGCCACGGGAGGCACCGCGGGGGCGACGGCCCGGCCCCGAACAGGGTGGCCGCTCTGAAGCGGGGTGCCAAGAGCGCTCTGCGTGCCCACGGGGGCACCTTCTTTCCGACGGGGCTGTTTTCCTGCCGCCAAACGGTTTGCTCCGAGCGCAGCCATGCTCCTGCGGTGCGGCTGTGGGGCGAAGGCCTGGGAAGCCGCGCCGGGAGCCCCGCGGGCCGCTGTGCCACGGGGCGCCCGGCCCACGGCCCCCCTCTCCCTGCCCAGAACCAGTTCTTCATCAGCTGTGCTGACGGGCGCTCCGTGCTCAACACTGTGGGGGACGCCATTGTGGAGCGGGTGCTGCGGGCCCACAGGTCGGTGCTTCGGGGCGGCCGGGGCGGCTCGCCGGGGCGGGGGGAGCCTCTCTGTGCATGCCCGGGGCAACCCCTCAACTCTGAGGGACATTCCCCCACGTCCTCCGGGGTGCCCACAGCACTGACTGGCCGGCCGTTGGGGTTGCCCTGGGAAGAGGCGGCGCTTCCGGTTGGGGGGTCCTGGGCACCGGCTGTGGGCTGCCCCCCTCGGCCGGGATCGGCAACGGCGGCCCCGGAAGGCCCTGCCGGGGCGCCCGGGAAGGGGCCCCTCACGACGGGCTCGGGGGACGCGCGTTCCGCTCAGCGAGCCTCGACCACCGACGGGTCCTCTGCACGTGCTCGGGGCACTCTGGCCATGGCGCGGGGGGGCCCGGGGCGTGCCGGGAAGCGCCCCCGGCCGGCCCGCTCACCGGAGGCTCCCTCCCGCAGCGCCCAGCGGCCGTTCCGCGTGTTCGTGCTGCTCCCGCTGCTGCCCGGCTTCGAGGGCGACATCGCGCAGGGCGGCTGCCACGCCATCCAGGCCATCCTGCACTTCACCTACCGGTGGGTGGCCGTGCGGGGGCGCGGCGGGGGGGTCCCGCGGGGGCGCGGGGCGGGGGGGGACTGGGGGCCGGCGGGGGGCTCGCGCTCCTCGCGGGGAGCAGGCGCCGAGCGCAGGGAGCAGCCCGGCCAGCGGGGCTTCCTGTCCTGTCCTGTCCTGCCCCCGCAGATGCACTTCCCTGCCCCAAAGGGGGGGCCCAGCCGGCGCCTCGACCCCCCGAGGGGCGGGGGGCAGCCGCCTCCCCCGGGCCGGGGTGGGGAGGCAGGCCGAGTGACCCCCGCTCTCCCCCCACAGGACCATCTGCCGCGGAGAGGCCTCCATCGTCAGCCGCCTGAGAGCCGCCAGTGCGTGTCGGGGCCGTGGGGGTCCAGCCCCCTCTGGCCAGCGGGCTCTGCCCCCGCATGCGGGGGGGCTCTGCTGGCGGTGGGGGCGGGGGGCTGGCTGGGGGACGCTCCGCCCTGAGCCAGGCACTCTGCACGGCCTCGGGGGCACTCCCTGCGGGCTGCTTCTCCCTCGCAGCTCCACGCGCCCTGGGGGAGCCGGGGGCGGCCCAGCACGGCCGGGGGGCAGGGGTGGAGACGCCCCCCGCCCCCTCACCTGCGCCCCTTCTCTGCCCCAGTGGGGGAGGCCTGGAAGAGCTACGTCTCCTTCTGCGGGCTGAGGACCCACGGCGAGCTGCAGGGCCGGCTCCACACGGAGCTCGTCTACGTGCACAGCAAGCTGCTCCTCGCGGACGACCGGCGCGCCATCGTCGGTGAGGGCCGGGCGTGGGGGGGGCCCCGGTGAGGGCCGGGCGTGGGGATGCCCCGGGGGCCCCGCAGCGCCTGACCCGGCCTCTCCCCTACCAGGGTCTGCCAACCTCAACGACCGCAGCCTGCTGGGCCAGCGCGACAGCGAGCTGGCCGTGCTGGTGGAGGACTCGGAGTGCGTGCCGTCCGTCATGGGGGGCCAGGAGTACCAGGCCGGGCGCTTCGCTCTGGGGCTGCGCCTCGACTGCTTCAGGTGGGTGGGGGCGGGGGGGCGGTGGCCGTGCGGCAGGATCGGGGCCACGGTGCCAGAGGGGGCCGCCCGGGTGTGAGCCGGGGCTCCAAGCCCATCGCCCCCATCCGAGTGGCCCTGGAGGGCTCAGAGGGTGCTGCTGGCCCTCTGCCGGGACGGGGGGGCTCCCTCATTAGGCCTTGGGGGCACAGCCGCGGGCGTGAGGCGGAGCGCCGGCTTTCCTGGCAGGCCTCGGCCTCGGGCGAGCCTCCCGTCACAGGGGGTGCGGGTGGCCCCTTCCCACTGCAGAGCAGCACGGAACGGCCAGGGCCGAAGCCGCTCCCCTTCCCCACGAGCTGAAACGTGCCGTCCTTGAATGGTCCCGCAGGTGCATTTTGGGGGTGACCTCTGAGCTCGACATCGACCTTCAAGACCCAATCAGCGACCGCTTCTTCCACGGAACGTGGCAGGCCCGGGCCCAGGCCAACACCAGCATCTACGAGCAGGTGTGGGGTGGCCGCGTTTGGCGTGGGCGGGGGGCGTCAGGCACGTGGGACGGGAGCACCCGCCTCCCCTGACGCGGCCGGTGCTCAGACCCTCTCCTCTCGCCCCCGCAACTGCCACGTTGCCCCCACTGCTCACCTCTTTCCCTCTGGTGGGGACCCCCGGGGGCTTATGCAGCCCCCCACTGTGCTTCCTGCGCCCCTCAGCCCTGCAAGGCGGGCTTGGCAGAGAGGGAGGGGCTGGCCGAGGTCACCCCGTGCGCCCCAGCTGAGCGGATGGATCCCCGGGCCCCCTCGAGCCCTGCGGTTCAGGTGTCGGCCTGGGGGGCGCCAGGGGCCGGGATGCTGCGAGGGGCCTCGCTTGCACCGGAGCAGTTCTCAGAGCGTGACGGCGGTGCCCGGCACGGCCATCTCTGCCTTTCCGGCCGCTCGGCTGCTCCCTCTCCGTCCCGCCCCACGGCCAGCACTCCTGGCCGTTCGCAGCCCCTCAGATCATAACAGACACTCTGCAAAAGCTGAAAGCTGCACGATAGAACAGAAAGGAGGAAAGGCCAGAGTAAAACTGCCCGCACTGCAGACACAGAGAGCCAAACTCCAAGACTCGATGGGAAGCGCTTGGGGGCGCCTCTGTGGGGAGCTTGTGGTGCAGCCAAGGTGCCGCCACCGAGGAGCCCCGCACTCCGCACCCCTCGCTGGGGCTTCCAGGGGACCACCGAGGACTCTCTGGGCCTGGGGAGGAGACGACCCTGGGGCTGCCCTGGCCCGAGCTCTGCAGTGGGCCTGGACGTGCACCGGTGCGGGTGCGGGTGCAGGTGGGTGATTGCGCGGGCGGCCACGCTGCCCTGTCGTGAACCCGCCGAACCCCCTGGCGCGTTGTAAGAGGCGACCCCGTACGTGACCCGTTGCGGCAACCCAGCCAGGGGCTACCAGGGCAGGGGCAGCTGCAGCTGGGCTACCGCTCTCCCGATCAGAATGCCGACTGGACCTGCTGCCAAGCTGACCCAGGGCGCCTCCCGTGACAGTGCCGGCCCCGAGGATCCCCAGCCGCGAACGGAGCCTCCGGGGGACGTGGAACCCCCAGGGCGGGCCGAGCGCCACTGGCCAGGCAGGCAAGCCTCCCTGCCGTGCCCACGCCTTCCCTGGAGTGCCTCTCGGTAGTGCCCTCGTCCGGCCCATGACGGTGCCCAGGCCCTGCCTCACCTGGATCGGCTGGAAAGGCAAGAGGGGCCTGCTGGCACATCGGTCACTGCCCCGGTGCCTTCCCCCGCAGCCTCCTGTTGAGCGGCGTGGGGCAGGTCAGAGCCCCCCGGAGCCCCGGGCCGGCCGCCGAGACGCAGAGCCAGCCCGCGTGCCCAGCGCCACCGTCCGCAACTGGCCCAGCAGGTTGGAATGGCTGCAGCGCCTCTAGCTCCCCGCCCAAAGCCCTTCTCCAGACGGGGCTGCAGTAGATCACACCCCCCCCGGAGGCCCATGTGAACCAAGGGGGCTGCGCACCCACCCGCGAGGGTCACCCCGCAGCTCCACCCCAAGCCAGAAGCTGGACGGCCTCAGGGCCATGCCAGCAGCTCCACGCGAGATGGCCAGGAGGGGCTGGCAACCGCACGCGGCAGCACCCTGCCCTGCAGCCGCCGGCAGTGAGGCCTGGCCCTGGCTGGGCTGCTCGGGAGCAGCTCAGTCCCCTCTCCTGCCAGCGCTGCCCACTAGCCAAGCTCTGTGGGCAGCTGGCAGCAGTCCTAAAAACAGACCACGGAGCCAATAAAAACAGCACAATTCCTGTAGTGCACGAGATTTAATAACAGCTGAATAGTGCATACAATTTTAGGGCAAACTAGAGCTATTAAAAACAGCCTTAATTCAGCCTATTAAATTCAGTGCCTGGGAGGAGAGGACAGGTTAACTCGATGCCAGGCAGATGACGGAGTTGGTCCAGGCGGCCTCAGAGGGGAGATCCTTTCAGAACTGAGGGGCCGCTGCGGAGAAGGCCATGTCTCTCGCTGCCACCCTGCCAGCTTCCCTGGGAGGGGGCGCTCAGAGGGAGGCCTCGGGTGCTGCCCAGTGTCCAGGAGCCTCCAGCGAGGAGGGGCCCCCCACCAGGCCCCCGCTCCCACGAGTGCTGAGGCTGGCAGCACTCCCTCTCTGGCGAGGGGTCGACGTCCTTCCAGATCCAGCTGGATACCCCCTCCCTGTTAGGTGGAAAGAGTCGTACAGGGCAGGAGAGGCCAGTCTGTGTCTGCTGAGCGCAGCCCCTCAAACGGCCGGCGGTGTGTGTTCCGGGATGAGCGGCCTGGGCCCTTCTCACTCCCGCACTAATGGACAAGGGGCTTGAAGGAAGGAGAGGCTGGCGGCCGGCCAGCGCCCTCCTTGGGGGCTGCACTCCTGAGCGCAGTCTCCCGCATCCTTTTGGGGAGCAGGAGAGCACCTCCTCTCCCGGCCTGTGCCACCAGGGCACCTCCCTGCCCACCGGCTGCCGTGCAATGTTCTCTTTGCTGCATGAACTCTGCCAAAGTGGGAAAAGCCAGCAAGCCCCGAATAAACTCGCAAGAGAAGCACACAGGTCCCTTATGAGAGTGGAGCCATCTAACAGCCCGGTTTCCCCTTTTATCCCTGTACCAATTGGGGCAGGTCTTCCGGTGCCTTCCAACGGATGCTGTGCAGTCCAGCCGGGCCCTGCGGGACTACGTCAGCGTGGAGAACCTGGCCTCAGCCAGCCCCAGCGTGGCCCGTGAGCACCTCCAAAATGTGCGGGGCTACCTGGTTCAGTTCCCACTCGAGTTCCTGGCCGAGGAGTATCTCCTGCCCCCGCTCAACAGCAAGGAGGGCATGATCCCCGTGGAAGTGTGGACCTGACGCCCTGCCGGAGGAGCCCAGGGGAAGCCGAAGCAGCGGGACGGGGGCTCCGGCAGGGCAGCTTGCCTTCTGCACCGCTGGGGGGCCGCTGGGCGCAGCCTCTCCTCTGCTGGCCCTCCTCTGGGCTGCTCCCGAGGAGCCCTGCCTTCGGGGCAGCCCTCTGCGACGGCTCCCACCCTCCCAAGAGACCTTGGCCATCCAGCTTCCGTCAAGACCAGCAGGGGCAAGCCACATTCCAGCCTCGCTAGTGCTTCTCTGCCACCGGCCCACCCTGCGCCTCGGTCCCTCTGGGGGGCAGGCTGGCCCGCCCCGCACTTCCTTCAGGACTGGCAGCACCAGCCCAGCATCTTTTCCAGCCATTCCAAGAGGTTTGGGTGGGCAGGCTAGGAAGCCACTGGGCTGCCCACTTTCCTCCATCTACACCCTGCGGCTCAGACCAGCAGCCCTCCTTGCTGGTCTCCCAAGTGCTCCACGGGAAGCAGCTCCGCATCCAGACCCACGGCTCCCAGCAGCATCTGAACCTGTTTTGCTGCAGTGCTGTATTAAGCGACATCTACACCATGCTTTTAACAGAGTTCAAACCGCTTTACTTTCCTGTGGCTCTCCCAGAAGGAATCACATACTTCTCAGAGCAGGTGCCACGGACAAATTCTTGGTAACCTCACCACGTACTCTCGTGGCATGGCTGAAAGGCAGTGGGGCAGGCCACAGGGGTGCTGTGCAAACTGGGGGCCTCCACTCCACTCTTCCTTCCAGTGTCATGGTGCTGATCCAGACCAGTATTCCAGCGGGGCCTCCCCCCTACCCCCATTTCCGTGGGATGCAGCTGCTCTATTCTGCCCCCTTTCCGGGCTCGAACGCCTGCTGACTCTCGCCACGGTGGGAGAGGGCAGCAAACAGCACCCCGGACTGTACCCCGGGGGTTCGGTCGGGGCAGTCGACTTAGCGGCATCTCCAATAAACCTCCAACGCCCTCCTCTCCCGTGTGAGCTTCCTTTCTGCGGGTCCCGGTTTGAAGAGAGAGGGGCGGGGGGGTCCGGCTTCAGGGCCGGTGCGCGAGTGGTGGCTGGCCGGGCAGCTCGGGGGACGCTCTGACGCGCCCCCCCCCCCGGCTAGGGGCGCACCGGCATCCGGCGGGGGCAGCCCGAGACCGGGAGCCGCAGGGACCCCGCTGAGGGCGAGCCCCCGGGAGGGCGCGTCCGGCTGCGCTGCCGGGGACGGGGTGGGGGGCGCGGACCGGAGGGGCTGCTGCGGCGCGGCGCGGGGGCAGCGCCTTTCCTCGCCCCGAGAAGCGGGCGCCGGCAGGGGAGGGAGCGAGCCCGCGGCAGCCGCGCCTCGCCCGGGTGGGCCGAGCGGGATCCCGCGGCCGCCACCGCGGCCTCTCGCCGTCGGCACACGCGGAGGCGCCGAGCCGCGGCAAGGCTCGCCGGCGGCCCCACTTCCGCCACGCCTCCCTCGGCTGCGCCCGCTGCGGACCCTGACGGGCTGCCCCGCGGTTCCCCCAACTTCCGCCACGCTTCTCCTCTGCGCCTGCTTTGAGCGACGCAGAGGTTCATTCGCTCCCGCCGCTGTGACGCAGTTCCTGCCCCCCGACGGCCAATGGCGAGAGCGCTCCCTCTGGCCACGAGCCGGGACTGCCGCCTCTTCCGGCTCACGAGGGCAATTATCCGCCTGGGCGCCTGCGCGGAAGGGCCCCGCTCTCCGCCGCAGAGCATGCGCAGGGGCTTGCCAGGCTTTCCGTCCGCACGCCTGCGCTCTTTCGGCCACGCCCACTGGGCTCCGGCGCCTGCGCAGTGCGGCGGCGCTGTCCTCCCGGGCGCCTGTCAGTCAGTCGGTCAGCGGGAGCGAGCGGTGCGCGACGGAGGAGGAGCGGCGTCCGGCCCGGAGCCGAGCGGAGCGGAGCCGCAGCGGCAGCCGCCTCGATGGGGCCGCAGCAGTGAGCGGACAGCGGCGCCGCGCCTCGCCCCCGCCATGGCCGACCCGGCCCCCGCCCGCAGCCTCGACGACATCGACCTCTCCGCCCTCAGGGTGAGCGGGGCAAAGGCCAAGGGTCGGCGGTGGCGGGGTGGGGGGCCCGGCGCGGCCCCCCCC